AGAAATGAGTATATTTCGGATTTTACAAGTTTTTTATAATTAGTTTGTAAAGTATACTTTAAGTGAAGATGGTGCGGCGACGTCCCACTTTGTCGTCCTAGGACCGCTCGCAGCAAACCTATTTCCCACCCTTTCCCATCCCGTTTTCCCGTCTTGTCCCAGGGCTCCTCGGAGCCCGCCAAATGAATCTAAGTTTCTGGCTGAACTTTAACGTCGTATAACGTCAACAAACTGGTTCCTCTTCATGAGGACAGTATTTTAGCGCAAGAAAGAAGATGAAGCAAGAAATCCATATAAACAAGACAACCGCATCTTATAATAAACTCATATAAGAAACTCAAATTGCCACCTCAAGTAAAAGTTATGGTAAGTTTTTTATATTTACAGGACATAAAGTAACACTAGTGGTGTGACTTGATAGCACATAAAGTAACACTAGTGGTGTGACAAGAACACCACAAAAGTCATTGTGTGGATCTGTTGGGCCACCAAAATTGTGGATGAAAGATTGAGATGGATGTGTGGTGTGACAAGAAGGGATAAGGAATTGTGTATATTAGAGGAATTTTTAAAGTAATGCCAGTGGTGGAGAAATTGAGAAGCAAAAAGTGGTATGTCCATATAAAGAAGAAAGTAAGTTTGAATGTGAATGGCTACAAAGGTAGAGGAAGACTGTAGTATGGATGGATTGTGTAAAAGAAAATGAGGCGTGAATTTAGACTGCTGATAAAAGATGTATGGAAGATCAGCTCGTAATGTGTTAACGCTATATGGACAAGGGTAAGTTGAGATCGGCTCAGTTTGATTTGTAACTGAATAGATTTACAATTTGTTGCTATGTAACCAACACTCTAAGTTATAAAACAGCTATAAGCTGCCAATTTAGTTGCTAAGTTGCATGTCTGCTTTGAGGCAGTTCAGAGCTGATTTACAGTTTACAAAACATGCAGTTAAATATTTTTTGGTAATCATATTGTTTTGAGGTTAACCTATAAAGGACGGTTATCGTGTTAAAATGTTTATATTCAGTGATTTATATGTTTAAATTATTCCAGATATAGATAATTCCAGTCCAGTGATTAAATTGGCACTATTTACAACTGGAATTTTTACTTTCGTAAAGTTTAATTTTTGACACTTGTAATTATTGAAATCAAAATTCTTTTGAGGTAAAAATTTAATTATAAAACTGATTAACAAGGAAAATATTGGCTAATTTGTGTTAGTTCAAACTTGTTTCATCTTGATTAATTTTTATTACGAAGAACGCATTAGTTTTTAATTTTCATAGTCAAACCTATTTTTTTTTTAAATGATTAAAGTTTTTTTTAATGCTATGTTGTTTTTGTGTTCCAATATCGGAGCACATGTTACAGGATTACTGTGCATTGGAGCATTTTACCAAAGCTGTGGCAACTGAAATCTGAAAATGTAAGAAGCCAGTGAATTGTACCAACTAAACCTAGTTACAATACACAGTTTAAATATACTAGTATTTTTATTTACTCGTAAGATCCTGTCATCCAGCCAGCATTTTTAACTAATAATTAAAAAGTAATTTAATTTCAGAGTGAAATTTAAAAAGATATTTAGAATAACCAATTAAAGTTTTTAAAAATAAAGTATTGGTTGTTGCTCAAGAGTTGATCTCATTAAAATTGCAACATGGTAATAGTTTCGCAGTATTTTATTTATAGCACACACTTGACCAGTTTGCACTCCGTAACTGGACTGGCATAATGTAAACACTGTGGCGCAAGTAATACAGTCCAGTGAGTGAACCAGACATGTACAACTCGGGATAATTTAAAAATTACGTACATTGAAAGCACGTGTTTGTGCAACTTTAATTATTTTACTTAACTTAGCTTTGACCTTGAAAACAATTGCACGTTCTGTCAATTACTTTTTTGTTTTTTTTCTAATGTAAAAAAAGTGAATGGCATTATTATTCCGGTATTAATAGGCCCCTATAAAAACAATACATTCAAAAATGGGAATAACATTACTAACATTTAGATTCCTTGTTATTTTAGCAAAACCCTTAATTTTTCAGGTTTCTTTGATAAATCAATATTTTTTTAATCTTGGTAATTTAAAAAAGAACTAAAGACCCTCAACTCTGGCCGCGGTCCGCGATAAGAATTCGGGTCAAAGTTGTTAATTGTTATTCGACATGATTTTGAAATCATAATGTATTTTAAACTTGCGTAATTTCTAGAAAGATGACTTTAAATAGCTTGTGCCCTGAATATTAAAAAATCTCGCCATTTAAAACATTTTATTTGTAAACTAGCTATGCGCCTGCGTTAAAATACTCACTGTCGACGTAGCTTTTAATTAGTAAAAGTATTATATTTTTGAAATCAGTCCAGTAGTGTGTTATTTCAAAACATACAAAAATACTATCTTTCATCTTTGTAATATTAGTCAAGAATATGGATGCAAATCAGAAAGCACGAAAGAGCGTTGGTAGCTAACTGGCTTAAGCAGTTTGCTTGTAATCTACAGGTCTTGGGTTCGAATCCCGCCGTGTACCAATGTGATTTTCGATTTGTCGAATTTTCATATGTACATAATTTACCTGACGTTCTTACGGTGAAGGAAAACATCGTGATGTACATATCGGCGAAGAAATTCAAAGATATGTGTGAAGTCAACCCGCAGTGCGGCGTGGTTGACTATGGCCTAGTCACTCTAACTTAGGGTAGGCTCCCCCTCAGTGGGGACGCCACCGGACTTTGGGCCTTTTTTTTATTTCGCGTTGTTTATTTTATATGGAAGTTGTTCTTACTTTGACATAACCTAAAAAGAGGTGTTCAAGAAGAGAGTGACTAAGATGTATGATAAAGTTATTTGGAGGACGAAAACTGGCGCAGACGCTACGGGAGTAGGATAAGAAGGAAGATGATGACCGCATGAGTTCTGAAATAGGGATGGGGAAAATAAAAACTACAATAATTGAGTCTGCATTATATAACAATATATTTATTAAAAATACTTTCAGTATCACAGATTCAAAATGTTTATAGAAAATTAACAGAAATTAGATATCTTAAAAAAAATCTTTCACAAACTCAAATTAATGTTGGGTTCTCATTATGCCAGAACAGATAGTGCTTACAAAAACTGGCAACACCCGTGATTAAATCAATGCCAGGCCAGTGCACTGGCATAGTGATAACTATAGTTTGTCTAAATAAGATAGATTCGTTTGATAAATGACACATGAAGTATCGAATTCAATTTGTATGAAGGGAAATGCCGTACTTAATAGACAGGTATCGTTGTGACGAAACAAACACGCAGCGAACTATTATCAGCTATCGTATTCGGTTTAAATAAAATTTAGAGGACAATTCTAGTTTTTTTTTTTTATATATATATGAGAAGGGGGCAAACGAGCGGCGGGAACACAAAGGTGGTCAACGACGCCCATGGACATCCGCAACACCAGAGGAGATAATTTTGATTATAGTGTAGAGAATTTAGCGATGACAATAATAATAGCAAAATCTATTGCGATTACGTACTGATGTAGTAGGAATAAATATTTATTTACTCAAAAACAATGGTTTTAATTCATAAGTTATAACTATAAATCGATTCCAACTTCTATTGGAATAAAAATCGATAAGATTCATGACTAATTTTACACAACCTATCCCTACTAAATTTCAAATGAATTGTCAAACTAATCTATCTTTTTTAGACACACTATAGAAACGCATAGTAAATTATGGTTTAAGAATTTAAACCAATTAACTATTGTAGGCACAAACAACAGTCATATAATGGAAATGCTACCAACAATTGCAAACCAAGATTAACTTCTAAAACGAAGTTTTTAGAATCATGACAAAAACATCGCAATACATAAATTGTATCGCATTATATATTCCCGAAGGAGTCTCTCAAGTTTTTTTTTACTGAAACCTCTTTTAATTCAACCTCCTTGCACACTTCCCAAATAGTTTAAGATAGAAGTAAAAAAGAAAAATGTGAGCTATTTTACTCAAAATACACATTTTTGTACTTGCATTTCAAGTATTTTATAACAAAATCCTGCTTGTTCTCTTCATTAGTTTACTAAAAAATAGAAAAAATCTTATTTACTATTAAGTCTTCTGTTTTTTAAAGATCATAATTTAGGCAAATCCCTATATTCATTGTTTATCGGTTTTGTGTCTTCGGGAACTGTTGGCTTGTGGTTTACTGTTGTATTAGGCGTGGAAACCCCAGATGCTGTGGTCGGCACAGTCATTATAAACTCAGCACCAGGCACCGCTTGTATAGCAACAGGGACGCCGTCTATTATAATCTTCCTCTCCTCTGTGGGTAGTTTTAACTTTGTCGTCATTATTAAATTTATTATATCCATTTGTAGTTTCATGCAAGCATCTTTCGGTACTTCTTTTAGTAACGAAGCTACGTAATTGCTGAATTTTTTTATTTGGTCGTCATTTTCTTCATGTCTCTCATTGTCACTGGTGTTCAGTTTGCTCAATTTGCTTATCTTCGCTGGCTTTACAGGAGTTGTGAAAACTCTGCTATTTTTTTGAGGTTTTTTGATCGTTCTTGTCTCTTCGTCTAAATATACAATCTCAGTGTACGGTTCGTTCTGATCATCGCTGTCACTCGATTCGTCAAAACCCTGGAGGATGAACTGAACTTTGTATTGAGGCACTAAGGGGACCTTTGACTAAACTATCGCACAACTCTTGTCGATTGTTTCGCTGCCAATACAACTGTCGGACAACTAGAAATCGTACATGCATATCTCATAGAAAACAAAGTAAGACAAAACAGTTTTTCGATAGTTTAATCAAAGGTGTGCCCTCTAAGAATTGTGATTACTGAAATGAGGGAAGATTTTCCTGACGGAAGAAAAGTTCCTCACATCGTGTAGGATAAGAAAATGTATTATTTTTATTAACTTGAATTTTAAAATCTAGGTTTATTTTATAATATAAGGTGGCAAGCGAGCAAGCGACCACCGGAATCCATCGAAATGGTAAGCGACCGCTGCCCATAGACATCCGCAATTGCAGACGCGTGTTCTTCCCTTAATCGACGAAGGAGACCCACATAAAGAGGACATTTCCCCTTCCTATGCGTCTCCTCCATCGGCAAATCCACTTTTCCTTCCCATCCTTTCCTCTTAAGAAGGGTGGAAAGGGAAAGGGACTAAAATTAGGCCTCCGGCACCACACTCATCAGACTGTACGCGGATTGCTTCCACATCTCGCCTGTTTTCTGTGTGGTCGTGGTATTACACCGGGCGAGCCGGCCTATTTGTGCAAAGATTAAAGCGGGCCCTACCACTGCTAAATTGGTGATTTTTAGCGTAATTGTTACCTGTGCTAATTTAGGATGGTTATTCTTCAAATGCTGCTTCAGGTCTTTGATGCGATGTGGCAGCGAGGCACGGCAGACGACGCAACGCGCACGTCCTCCCGTCTCCTTCTCGAAGAAACTCCAGGGATCAGACTCTTCGGTGGATTTGGGCTCATCATCTGTTAAGAAACAAGTCTTTTATTCTGTTTTCATGTCAATCTGTGTCTGTCACTATTATAAAGGTTACTTTATAAAAGTCATCATCACCAGCTCACTATACGTCCCCACCTAGGGGCTCGGAGCCTACCCTAATAAGGGGTGACTAGGACATAGTCAACCACGCTGCACTGCAGGTTGGTTGACTTCACACATATTTTTGAATTTCTTCGCCGATATGTGCAGGTTGCATCACGATGTTTTACTTCACCGTAAGAACGTCGGGTAAATTATGTACATATGAAAATTCGAAAATCACATTGGTACGGCGGGATTCGAACCCAAGACCTTTAGATTACAAGTTAAGTGTTCAAACCACTGAACCACTGACGCTCGCTACTTTATAAAAGTAAAGTTGTTAAAATTTCGGCTTAAACATTTCTAGACTCTGGGCGAATTCTAAAGATTGAGATTCATTTAAATATTTTAGGATCATTACATAAAATTAACATATTTGCAGCGCTATACATTTCTTTCGATTACGTTACAAATATTTTGCCTCAAAACAGTGTTAACAAGAAAATCAAGCAATACTAGAACATCGGCGTAGAAGTCCCGTCACTATCTGACAGCTGTCAATGTCATTCAGACGTGTTAGAAAAGCGCGCCATTGTAAAAACAGTTAATATTTAAGTACATTTTTACAATTAAATTAATGTATTTCTAAAGTTGGTCCCCTATCAAGTTCTCCGTAATAAAGTGAACGTAAGCGTACCGGAACATAAAACGAGTAAATACTATTCACGAGACAGGGAAGTTATCAGACGGTATGACGATGCTACAAGGAAATATCAACTCGACTGCAAGCTTGTGAATATTGCTGTCTCTTTCGTTCGCGTTGACATAACAGAGATAGCGATACAAATGTGACAGAAGTTTTATTATACGTAATGTTTACGGATGTAGGACAATCGAAAGTCAATTTATTGTTGATTTTGTTCATTGAGTGTCAACCCTGAGTATTGTATTGTCATATAGTGACTTTAAAAAGGTTAAAAAAAGTAAATATTGTATAAAATATTTCACAGTTGTATTCAAACATTAAACAGATGTTTTTAAATAAATTAAATAATCAAATAAGTCAACTGCTGTCACTAATTAGTTACAAAACAATTGATTCAACAAACGGTAAAAAAACCTTTGTGCATCTTTGACAACTGTTCTATCATACTAATATTATAAATGCGAAAGTTTAGATGGATGTTTATTAAAGTTTGTAGCCTAAACGACTGAACGGATTTCGATAAAATTTGGCATAGATGTAGAGGATAGTCTGAAAAAACACATAGGCTACTCACTTTTTTTTAAATTCCAGTCGGACGGAATCGCGGCCAAACGCTATATAGAGGTAACACTACTCGATTTTTAGTTGTGCAACTAAACAGTTGGTGATAGTGTCAAAGGTGCGCTGTTAAAATTGTTTTTAAAGGTCACAACAAAATCCGTTACACGCGTGACGTAACAACGTGACGTCACGTCAACTGTCGACGCTCGACAAACTCGGACTTTACGCTTCGTAAGTAGTGAGTAGATATGTTGGAATTGACATACGTAACACGTCACAAGTTTGGACAAAGGAAAACCACATTTTTTTTAAACAATTTACCGATAATATAGTTTTAACTGATATCAAAAGGTCACGTGTTAACACTTCTTTATTAGTTTACAAGTGTTTAATATATTGGAGAGGCTACGGCGTCTGTTTTTTAGCATTTCAGGTGAAAACAGCGTTTTGGCGCCATTACGTCAAGCGTCGCCCTAGTGAACTAATTTTGACAGTTCTTTCATTTTTAATTTTGTCAAAGAATAAAGATAAAGAATAAATAAAACAGTAATGTTATCGTTTGAATTTATCAAAGGCGAAATGTTTTATGATTCTATAATAAAAATAAAGAATGAAACATGTTATCGAGATTTTTCTTATGACTAAACTACATTTCAATTACTCACTGCGCTCTAAAAATAAAACTCGAGAAATTTCTCCCACGTATTGGATATTTTTAAATTCAACTTTAATAAACTAGTGCGACTGTATTTGGTTATTTGGAGATTTTTAATTGTTTATCTCTTTACATTTATAAAAAAAAAACATACAGACGAATTGAGTACCTCCTTCTTTTGGGAAGTCGGTCAAAAAAATATTCAAATGATTATTAACATAATGTTTCACGTACACAAAGCCTGTTAAAAACTAGAAACGGGTCTGTGAGTAACATTTGAATATAGCCTAAAAACAAAATAATAAACAGGTGTTAAATGTCGTAGTTTGTACTTATTTATAACTTTGAACTACCCACCTGATTCTTTAAGGTATTTCAGAGGATCGCAAACATAATGTTACAAATTTAAACCATGAAAAAACACATTCTTTGCGAATTACGCGTTTATCAAACACTACAGTTTTATATTCGGATGTTTACACACTAGAGCTAAAATTGTCATCAAGAAAACATTGTTTGGGCTTAAGACTACACTAAGTGGGTCACTTTAGACCTACCTTATAGGATACGAGCTGTTGCCTGCGACTTCGTCCATGTGGTATTAGAAAACATACAAACTATATAAATTACAAAAAGCTACGTATCCCTCGGGAACTGGACATTTCTCGGGGATGAAGCTTATCCCATGTGTACTCCAGGCTTTGTTTTATATCTGTGCCAAATTTCAATAACATATGTTGAACCGTTGCAGATTGATCGAGTAAACATTAAAAAACTAGATTAATGAATCCCACGGGAACCGTAACTATTCCAGAGATAAAACGTAGCCTATGTGTTCTTCTAGACTATGCTCTAAACCTGTGCCAAATTTCATGGAGATCCGTTCAGCCGTTTAGGCTATAAACGCTAACAAACATCCATCCACCCATCTATCCATCCATCCATCAAAACTTTCGCATTTATAATATTAGTAAGATTTTAACCAAACGCGATGGTCAATATTCAGTCAATATTCGCTACACTTGTAAAATATCAGTACTTCGTTATAAGAAAAATATCAGACTTAAAATTAAAAACAAAACACTATCGCTATAGTGTATAATCACCCTTACTTAACAACTGTCAAAATGGCCGTCACATTTGGCAACAGTCCACATGTGAGGGTTATCAAATTGTTTACACTAAGGACGGAAATAACAAGCATTTTGAGAGCTTATTTGATCAACTGAAATTAAATCGGTTCTAATTAGTCAAATGTTTCCGGTCAGTTGTTTTGATGTCATTACGGGAATATTCTAGATTTAAAAACCATGATTTCGTTACTATCGAGTATGTAAGACTTGGAATCAACAGAGTACAGAGGCAAAAACCTCACGCAAATGGAAATCCTTAGCTTCTACCTACACTCTCGAAATCTCTTTTTTTCTGTCATATCTATACTGTACAATTATTGTTACTTTATAATCTACATCAGTGATGTAGACAATGACGAAATTGGATAAAACATGCATTGACAAATAAAATCGGACACAGGAGCGGAGTTATGATAGCGCGTGCACCTACTAAACTATACAACTGTTGTCTCGCTTTGATTTTTATAAGCTTAAATGTAGCACACTACTCGATTTTTAGAGCAACCAAACAGTTGAATAACTGCGAAACAATCTGACAACATGCATGCGATAGCTTTACAAAGGTGCATCTGTTTTAAATATTCTCTTTCTACCAATACCGATATATACCCGTCTCTTTTTACACCCACGCTGTTTTTTATAAAGTGTTTGATATTTGACACTATATACGTCTGTTGATTGTTGAGTCTACTACTGAAGGGTGGTCACGTATTGTCATTACAACATACCACAACCGACTCCTGTAGACGTGCTTTTCGGCACACAACGCTATCTTTGTTGGTTAAGTTGTGACGTCATAACAGTTGCATATCGACTGATTGTATTCCTAATTCAAAAATCAAACAGGCCAGCTATTTTCATGCCATTAGTTAGCATGTATCTACTATTGCTATAGATAAATGTTACGACTTCGCCCGCGTGCAATTAAAAAAAATTTTTTTTTTTTATAACATAAGGTGGCGAACGAGCAAGGGGCCACCTGAATCCGCCAAAATGGCGAAGCGACCGCTGCCCATAGACATCCGCAATTGCAGATGCGTTGCCTACCCTTATACGACGGAGGAGGAGACGCACATAAAGAGGATATTTCCCCTTCCTATGCATCTCCTCCACCGTCAAATCCACTTCCTCTTCCCAACCTCTCCTTATAAGAAAAGGGTGGTAAAGAGAAAGGGACTTAAATTAGGCCTCCGGCACCACACTCACATCAGACGAAACACGGAATTGCTTCCATTTCACGCCTGTCTTCTGTGTGGTCGTGGTATTACACCGGACGTGCCGGCCCATTTGTGCTAAGATGTTAAAGCGGGCACTACCACTTTTAAAATTAAAAACATAACCCATGTTAATTAGTGATAACGTAGCTTTTTAATGGTGAAATAATTTTTGAAATCGTCCCAGTAGTTTTTGAGTTATTTCAATATGTACAAAAATACAAATCTTTCTTCTTTGTAACATAGATACGGTATGTAATAGGACATAGTCTATATAGTTTTTTTTTTCAACGCGGACGAAATCGCGGGCAACAACTGTAAAAGAAAGTATACCAAGTTCGTTAATTGCATTGCTCAAAATAACCAAGTAAGTATTTTTATTTCTTCATTACCCAATAAATATTATTAATATAAAAACCGTTAAAACAATCAACTATTTTCCGATTTCACTTAAAAATGTCACGAGTGTGCAACTAGAAAGAGACATCTGCAATACACGATATGTGCGAGAGGGAGAACAGATCTGAATAGTACCGGTAAAACGAGACTGCTTTAAACGGGTTTTTGTTAAAACGTGACGAATAAAATTATGTAGGCTTGAGTTGTATTGGTTTGACTGTAATTATTACAAAAAATAAATATAGGTGATATTACGATGTTCTATTCTTCAGAAATTATAAAATACATATTACGAACGATCGACGAGAAGTTAAATTGACACGTGGTTAGAGTACTGAAAGATATTGCTGTGTTTGCACCAATTCAAATTGTGACTGGCCTAGTCGTCTAGCCTAGTCAGGGTCTATCTTAGTAACGTAACTGAGAGTATTTACTAATAAGACGTGACGTTATAACTTATGTAACGTATAGGTCACGGTTTCTGACCAAGATATTTGTAAAACAAACGCAAAGGCAGTTAAGCTCGACTCGCTTGGTAACAAAACATGTACAAAAAGAAAACGTTCGTTTTTGTGTCGAGCGCCATTTTGTGAGAGAAAGGCGACGTTGCCAAGCCGTGCATCAAAACAAGTGCTCTCGGGCTAGGCAACGCTGGATTTGGGATTTTTAACAATTATCCATACTAATATTATAAAGAAGAAAGGTTTGTATGTGTAACTCAAAATTTATTGGGCGGTTTTCTAAAATTGTTTTACCATTAAAAAACTATGCTATCGCTGAACCATTTTGTTGACCGACTTCCCAAAAGAAGGAGGTACTCAATTCGTCTGTATGTTTTTTTTTTATATACTATTTTTTTAATTCCACGTGGATGACGTCGCGAGCAACAGTCTAATAAATAATATAACGGAACTTTATATCTGTTGAAATACAATTTACGAGAAACAATTTGCCTTAAAAAACGTTAATAAGGTCAGGAAGATGATGAATTAATGATTTCCCTTTTTACTTACTCAGGGCCTGTACCACCACTAATTGATAAAGGCTCAGATAAAAAAGTGTTATAAAATCTGATATTTCCATCACATTGGAATATTATCTAAAAAAATTTACAAGAATTGTGTGACAGGCCCTTAGTATTCGAGAATACATACAACAACAAACTACTAGAAATAGCCAGATTGTACCAAACCTTGATTATGGAGCATTCAAAACAAGTTTAATTTGCGCTGACAGGCTGTTGGTAGCAAGCGGAGAGAAAGGCGGCGTTGCCATACCGTGCAGCAAAACAAGTGACGCAACGAGTTGACGGCTGGTCAAATAGGACGGCCGGGATAGGGTTTGCTGTTTACATTTTAATTATGTATTTACATACTAAAGCCCGCGACTCCGTTCGCGAATTAATAACCTTTCTCTATAACTAGTTTTCAACCACGACACTGTTCGCGTGAAGTTAAAACAAAACAAAAGTAAGTAGCCTATGTGTTATCCAGATTATCCTCAACGTCTATTCCAAATTTCATCTGAATCCGTTCAGCCGTTTAAGCCTCAAACTCTAACAAACATCCATCCATCTAAACTGTAACAATTTAAAAAACTAAATTTAAAGTTTGTATTTTTATTTTAAATAAAGATAAATGGTATTGATTTATAGCACAGACTAAATAACGTTCAAGAATATAGAAAAAATCAAAATTGTTAAAAAGCTAACATAAGTAATAATAATTTGGCTCTTATTCTTTTTACGTTTGAACATGAATTCCGTCAACTAGTTTTAAAAATAAGGGTTAATCGACGCCCTTTTCAATTAACGAGTTCTACTACGAAATTAGGGGAACTTTGTAGGTACCCTTAGGTAGTGACCCCCTGTATGACATAACAAAGGGTATTGTCAGAACGAGGATCGGGTTAGACTAGTTTCATTTAAAAATAATTTCAATCCATCTAAATACATGTTGACTATTAAAACGTAAGAACTAGTAAATATGGTTGCGTCGTTGAATAGTTTTATTTTGGTTACATAACTATTATCTATACTATTAGACAACTTATTTCATTGAAACGGTCGCTTTTAACTCAAAGCAATACTTCTCGTGAAGACTTAGGATGCGCGCCGAATCTATCCATACTTGTAGTGACATTGACAGCTGTCAGCTAGGGACGTGACGTTTATGCCGATAATCTAGAGTTGCGCCAATTCTATAGCACGGTACTAATTTTATTCCTAACAATACATATAATGAAATTGGAGTGTCTAATATCAAAAGAAAAATTCCAGAATACGTGAAGATGATGTATTTGCGTTGCTGATAATGATATTCGCATTTGAAATTTTTTTGTGTCTGTCTGTCCGCAAACCGCGTTTGTTCCGTATAATCTCCTAAACAGCTGGGCCGATTCCGACTTTCTCTGAAGGGTAGCTGACACAGACGGGTATAAAGGCTACTCTTTTTTCTTAATACTAGCTGTTCCCGTGCGATTTCATCCGCATAAAATTGTGAAAAATTTATTTTATTGTTTACATGTGTCAAATTATCAAAATGACATGACATGACAATCCTTGCTTCCTTGATGTTGGCAACAACTTATGGTCTCTTTCCCACTTTAGGGTTTTATCCAAAATATTTACCCCCTACGTTTAATTGCGTGAAAATATATAGCCCCAAGCGTGACGTAAGAGTAGGGCTTTTTAATAGAAAAAGAATTATTCAAAACTATGCTGTAATTGCTGACATCTTTGGCAACAAAGAAGTGTGTGTTTACGCTTTATTATAATAGTATAGATAGCGTGGACGAGGTCGCGGGCAACAGCTATTCCTTTATAAGAATTTTCTATCTAGTATCTACTTTCTTTGTACGTTTATAAAAATCTACCAGATAATTCACGCATCAAAGTACCACTTAAATGGATTATTCCTAACCACCACCCCGCTCTGAACCCCATTTGAGAATCAAAAGTTTCATCGGTCCCACCTGTTAGTCCCACTATCTCCAATAAGGTGACAGATGGAATCGGTATAAAATAAGTTTCAACCGTCCCCTGATCTCAAAAGGTGGGACAAATGAAACATTTTATTCTCATCTGTTCACACGTGGGGACAGAGCAGGTGACGGTTGGGAAAACCACTTAAACATTTCAATATCAGAAACAAGCATTTCCCAACATAAACAAAGAACAGTATGAACGCCCACGTGACCTTCCCTTACCCAATCGCGCAAGGCTAGGGGAGGGGGTGCTCCAGCTGCGAGCCTGTAAATCAATAAAACTGGGATGGAGTCCGCACCGCCCGGGAGAGTCTATTTTCGTAACAACTACAAAAGGTCACGTGAATTTTATGAAGGGCATAAACCTACATTGAAGGATGTTGTTGAAGGAAAAATAATCGAGTATTTAATTGTTGGATGAAATCTAAACACGGAGTGTTGATTTTCATTTGTTAAAGATCGGCTTACCAATCTGTCTGGTGTGAGTTTTTGTCTTTTACAGATTGAATTAATCGAGACAGTGGACACTAAGGGGAATTATGTAAAAATTTTAGAAGTTAAACGTAGTGTTATTGAAATTCTTGTGTCAAGGCTACAGAGCAAGGATGAAATCATACTAATATAATAAATGCGAAAATTTAGATGGATGGATGTTTGTTAGAGTTTGTAACCTAAACGGCTGATCGGATCTCGATGAAATTTGGCATAGATGTAGAGCGTAGTCTGGAAGAACACAATGGCTACTTACTTTTGTATTTTATCACGCAGACAGAGTCGTGGGCGAAAGCTAGTCTGTAATAAATTATTGACACCATCACATTGATAAACAATAATCTTATGTTGTGCAATTTTTGGTGGAATTTCAGAACGTTAGATATTAAATTTTGTAAATGTAATTCGACTCGAAGAATAATGTTTACTGCTCACATTAGTCCTTTAGTGGTGATAGATATAGGCCATACAAAGTAACGTTTACTAACAAAACATTTCTAATTGTGACTTTCAGTTATGTCGTAGCCTCAATTATATAAAACGCTTTATTGATGTTTGGTTAATTCATTTGATGACTTCAAAACTATAAATAAAAAGTAAATAAAGCAATTAGAAAAGGCAAACATTAAAAGCTAAACGAGAGGTACCCCTTACGTTCATTTATAGAATTGATCAATATGGCGTCGCGCGACGTTGCCGTCCTTACATTCAAAAACATTCGAGATCTTTATTATTAACTTTATACATTTACACACAACCATTGAGTCATTTTTAACGAATTTAAACCTTCTTCCATTTACTATTAAGTACAAAATCTAGTATATTTGAAGATTCAATAAAACATTTCGAAACGAAACTAAAATGTAAACATAACCTCACGTCATGCCATTACATCTCTTATTTTTGGGTAAATAGAGTTGAATATAGTTTAAGTTATGAAATGTGACGTACAAAATGGCGCGATGTACCCGTGAGGAATCACGTACGACAAATAAATCTTTGCTAAATCGCTATAAGAACTGAAGTGAATTCATTTACTTACAAACTCTGACTTTTGAAGTTTAAAACATAAAATAACATAAATCAATGTAAGACGGAATAAAGAGTTGTTTCCGTTAAAAAACACTTAGTTCAACAAATAAAACTGTTATTTTTTGGATAAAAAACACTTACCACTGTTACTTTGCTCTACAGTATCATCGTCACCGCTTTCGTTGTCATCTGTTTTGCTTTCCCAAAACTCATTGGGATGGAGTCGTTTTAAATGTGTACTAAGATTGGAAGTACTTGTTTTGTAAGAAAAAAGTTTACTACATAAATTGCACGTTGCTAGTCTCTCATTAGCATTTGATTTCGTAAAAAACGACCAAATAACTGATACGTTTCTTCTTTTTAAAGCTGATTTACGTTTTTCCAAGTTAACTGATTCCAAATCGGAAGTTCCCTTGTCTAAACTAATTTCTTTCGAATGAGCACGCATCAAATGCGATTTAAGGTTATATGTTGTCGAGTTGTAACTAAATAGTCTCTCGCAAAATGTACATTGAGCTCGTTTGACTCCATCGTCGGATTCACATTGTAAAAAGTAGTCCCACATTTTAGACCGCATCATGGTTTCAAACAGCTAAATTAACGTTAACAATGATAACCGTTTCGACGCAACGTAACAAACAGTAACGCAGTTATAACTACAAGATGGCGGCGTTAAAGTTTGACGTCTTTGACGTTCCAATTTTGTGTCGAGTTGCGAAACCACAGAGTATGATGTATTTACAACTGTTCATAGATAATAAATCAATTTTTCTTATATAAAACTGGAATAAAAATAGCAGAGTTACGTTATATCGTTGTTTAACAAACAACGTTTTTTTTTGTTTTTTTTTTTTTTTAATTTAACACTGCATTATTTAATTACACTTGTAATAATTTACCATTGCAACTTTATTCCAACATATGCTGATTTGCACTTTAGTTATGACCTTACAAAGTAAATGTTAAAAATACTAATAACGAAACGAAATAACCGTATTACCTACTTACTATTTAGCAACGCTGATAGATCAGAATCTGATGTTTGAAGTAAATCTTCATAAACCAATGGATGTTTCTGTTTTAGATGTGATTTAAGGTTTGAAGTGGTTGTTTTGTATGAGAAGAGTTTTCCACAAAATTGACAAAATGCCATAAAATCATGGTCATCGCTTTTCACAAAATAGTTCCATAATTTCGATGATTTAGGCATTTTAACTTAATAACAAAAAGATTCATCAATTTCAGTAAGTATTAATGTAAACAAAAATCACTTCACAACGATTAGCTATATTTCACGTTAAAAAGCGATATAACATCGCGTAATCGGTTAAATAAGTAACTGAAAGAAGCTCAAAATCACGAAATGAAGGTTATTCATTATGTTAATTCTAGCAGTAGCTATTTACGTTATAACGTGTATAGATCTACAAGGATCCTTTATCACTTTTTTGACATTGAAAGTTTTTAGAGTTACCATGAAACTAGGAATTCCAAAATTCTTTTGAGATTCTCCAAGGTATAAAAGAAACCAAACTTAATGCAAATGCATTGCAATAAAACTTGTCTGCGTATAGTAATTGTTTACTGTTTAAATTGTTTTATCTTCACAAAATGATACAGATTTATATAGCGATATGAGCTTTTTGGTTTTTATACAGAATGGGGATGTTTCCTAATTTTTGGAATTGCTTTTATTATGTAGATAAACCGTATCTAAACAAGAAAAAAATATAATAAAATCATATACGCAACATTTAATTACAAAAACACTTAACTAAAAACAACTTCTCAAAAGACCGCGAAAACGCCTCATGACATGACGTCACTTCTTTGCTAACAAACCTCGCGTCGCGGTCTGTCAAAGTAATTCAAAGTGACCAGACGTAAATTGAATTAGCTATTCAAATAACTTTTACTATTTTTTTTTTCGTCATAGTGACCGAAAAATATGTCGTAAATATAAAAACACTTAATAATGGAGTCCTCATAATATAACACACGCAAACTCAATTATTATAATCATTAAAAAAAAATTATAACTACAAAATGCACTGACATTCACTGAAGCTGGTCACACTGCCATGTTGTTTACGAAGAAGCTACGTCACCGAGCTCTGATTGGTGTTTGAGATAGAGTAATGGAGGGTAAAAAATATTGCAGCGTTTTTAATTTATATTTCAATGGAGACAAACATTTAAGGTCTCCAATTGTTATTATAGGTTTTTAAATACTGTCTTTAAAATATGAAACATAACTTTATTTGAATTTGTAACATTAGGAAACATCCCCATTATAAGTACTGTTCGATTGTTATGTTACATTTTGGTGGGACAGGGGTTGTAGTTTTTTTTTTAGTATCCAGGTATCATTGCTTTTGAGTGTAGTTTTTGTAAAGTAAAATATTAAAACCCTTTTTATTACTCAATTTGATGCAAGTGTAAGTTAATGTGGGGAAGAAGATACGGCTTATATACTCATACTTCAAACTAATATTATAAATGCGAAAGTTTAGATGGATGTTTGTTAGAGTTTGTAACCTAAACAGCTAAACCGATTAAGATGAAATTTGGTATGGATGTAGAGGATAGTCTGGAAGAACACATAGGGTACTTTGTTTTGTTTTTTTTTTATTCGCGGGCGAACGCTAGTGTTGAAATAAATAAAAAACAAATAAATGTACTAATCTCTTTTATTATGAATTTTAATAGATTTTTCACGGAACAAATTGACAATCAGGTACAATAGTAATCTTGAGGTTGTATTTAGTCCAGGCCAGGGTGAGGGGCAGCGCGGGCGGAGGCGCGGGCGCTTCGCCCTCATCCTCGGACTCCGAGTCGGTGTCCGCGAGACGAGACAGCGGTGTCAACTGGGATGACATCTCCCGAGCTAACTCCGGTGGTATCAAAATCTGTGTTAAAAAATACTAATATTATAAAGGGGAAAGATTTGTATTTCTTGTATTGAAGTAACTCAAAAACTACTGGGGCAATTTTTTACTTTATTCTCGTGTGAGGTATTATATAAGGGAATAACGGTACGAAAGCTTAATAATTTAGCTTGTTTAGGATACGTCGTCGCCGGCTTCGTCCACGTGAGCATAACATACTACACACACCGCGTGTAAAGAATAAGTACCGAGAAAATAGTTACTTAGCGCGAGCGTGCAGATGTTATAATGCACTTTCTGATTGTATAGATATATTTAACATATCGGCACCTAAAGTTAAACGAATCCTCAATGACCGTTTTTTCAATACGCGATAGTGAGTGGAAGGTGATCTTTATCTTCATATAAGTGTAGTGTGATACAATTTACAAGGACTGAATTTCATTATAATATATACTTGTGACTATCTGCGATAACTTGTAATTGGCCTTCATTTTTTTGTTTCTTTTATTATTATTTTTTTAAGCTAGCTGTAAGTTATCCGTAAATAAATAAAATAAAATAAAAAAAAATCAATAAAGAATGACCACTGTCAAAACATCATTTTGGAAGTACGGACAAATCTAAGCCGGAAATCTGATTTTTAAGATTTTTTTTCAAAGAAATATAAAAAATCGAGCAAATTACTTTGCGCTTAAATTATAGCTATTGAGTTCCTCTACCTCCACAAGGCCGTTGATTCGTCCGTTAAGAATCACACTGTACAGGACATACAGGGTGATTCGCCATTAAAAATCCACTTATATAGGACATACAGGCTGATTCGCCCGCTTAAAATCACACTGTATTGGACATATAGGGTACTTCGTCCGTCAAGAATCACCTATGGGGGATATATAGGGTGATTCGTCCGTTAAGAATCATGTCCTACACAGAGTGATTCTTAACGGAAATGTAGAATAATGTGTAAATATACTTGTAGCCAAGTCCCGCGCAGTGCGTACGGCGTGCGCTCGGTGGGCAGCGCTCCGGAGACTTCGCCCGACACGAAGGTGACGGCGCGCGGGGCGCAGCGCCACGTGAAGTGACGCCCGTGACTGATGCGACCACTAAATACAGCAAAAACAAATTAAAAAGCCTTTTTAAAACAAAATTACTAACATACTAATATTATAAATGCGAAAGTTTAGATGGATGGATGTTTTTTAGAGTTTGTAGTCAAAACAGCTGAACGGATCTCGATGAAATTTGTCATACAAGTGGAAGAACACATAAGATACCTGATTTCGTTGTTTTTTTAATTCCCCGCGGACAGAGTCGCGGGAAAAGCTATTCTATACTCATATAATAAAGAGGAAAGATTTGTATCTTTGGATGTTTGTAAATATTGAAATAACTCAAAAACTACTGGGGCAATTTTAAAAAAATATTTCAACGTTAGAAAGGCAATTTATCTGTAACATAGGCTACATATTTTAATACGTGGGCCAAGTTTCCATCATCATTTAATAATATTAATATAGAAAAAAATAGTTAATACTCACTCTATAGCTAGAGGCAGGAGGCTGGCACCCTCCGCGTTCATCACCACGTGAACTCCCTCCAAGAACTCCACACTCTCATCACCGCGCCATGAACCCTGACACAATATTTAAAAACATTAAAAAAAACACTGCCAGCAAATGCCAGTCGAAATAAAAAAAAAAGAAAAAACAATCGAACTGGCCGCTTGTACAATTCTAAAAAAAAAAGTATTGAAACACGTCATGTGACAGATACTGGCAGCAAATGTATATAGAAGTATAAAAAAAACTGGCTTGTACAATTCGTAAATTAAAAAAAATACAAAAAGCATTTTTCAACATTTACAACACAGTTATTGGCCGCTTGTACACTTTGAAATTAAAAAAAAAACAACAAGAACTAAGCTGTACATTACAAAATAATTTTAGCAGAAAATAAAGGTAAAATTGAGATATCTACACTAATATTAAAAAGAAAACAGATTTTAAACTAAATTTCTAGCTCTATTAATTAAAAAAAACACCAAATCTTTCCTCTTCATAATATTAGTATAGATTCCATACCTGCATTAACTCCGGTATTTGGGGCAGAGCTCTCTCTATACTGGACATCTCAAAACTGTCTGTCGACATATTATGACCTGGAACATCAAATAAATCAATTTAAACTATTAAAAACATTATTCAATAAAAAAAACAAAAACATTTTGTAACCTATTATAAAAGGGCAATAAATTCACTTCAAAAATAGTTCGTTTTTTTTCTCAATCTCGTATTTATAATTTATACTATTATAATAAAGCGTAACCACACACTTATTTGTTGCCTAAGATGTCAGCAATTACAACATATTTTTGAATAATTCTTCTTTTAATAAAAAGCCCTACACTTACGTCATGCTTTAGGCTATATATTTTCACGACATTAAACTTAGGGAGTAAATATTTTGGATAAAAACCCTAATGTGGGAGAGAGACCATAAGTTGCTGCCAACATTAAGGAAGCAGGTTTATTATGGTAACATTTTTGACATTTGCAATTGATTTACAAATGTAAACAATAAAATGATACACATAAATATTTTATTACATAGGTACCTATTTTACTTGCATTTTAAAATAAAAAACCGTTAATAGTATTACTAGCTTTAGCTATTTCGCGTGGAATTAAAAAAACAAACGTAACTTGTGTTCCAGACTATCTATGACAAATATCATCAAAATCCGTTCAACATTTAAGCTACAAAGTAACAAACATCCATCTAAACTTTCGCATTTGAAGTCTTTCGACTAACATCAGGTAATATTGGGTGATTTATGACATTTTCTTGTAGGCGTGGTACTTAGGTATTTCAACAAAATAGT